GACAGAACAAACATGAGCTCCTCCAAACCCAGAAAGAAGCTGTCAGTGCTGGCCATTCCCTGCTTCTCAGCTGCATGTGAACCAGGTGGGTTGCTGGTAACATCATTGACTTGTATGGCCATTCTAGGTCAATGTCCCATCAATGCAGACACAAAGATGGGAGTGCCGACATAATAATGACTTGTACAGGGTATTTTCCAACCGTAATGAACTTAAATCACTTTGCAGAGTTCTTTTATTCCTTTGACATTACTGTTGTTCAATATTCCATGACAATAAAACTTCCAACAAGTGAATCTTTATAAAGGCACCGTACATGGACATGAAGTAAACAAATCACATTCATCTTCACAATAAAAGCAAAAAGGAAGTTCTGGCATACTGATCAATATTGGCATAACACTTGAAGACAAACCTTTTCCCCATTATTTCACCAGTTGATATGTACCAGCAATTTAAAATGCAAGCCTACCAGACAAAGCATTGAACTATTCATGTGGGGCGATACCACAGTACTTTAATAACGTATACCTAAATTTAGATGCAAGTTGTTTTTCTTGCTGTTCAGTAGATCAAAAACAAAATCAGATTTGTACTCAATGCAAAATCTTTCTCATCTTTATTGAAACTGATAAACCACCCGCCATTTTCTTCAGAGACCCTCTTGGCAAGTCATCTGCACTTCCTGGGTCTGTACACTTGCTGTGACCATTATGGGGGATCCCACTCAATTTACATTGAGAATGTAATGTGATGTGCTGGTACGAAGGAGCATCTAAAACACCCCGGAGGACAGGACCAGAAAATCTAAAGTCAGCCTATATGTCCAAAAGTGAATGCAAGACCCTTATTGAACCAAGTGCTGAGATAAAGCTACCAAGTAGCTTTTCAGTCAACATGAGCTGACTTAAAGACTTGCATTGATAGAGGAACAATGTCTGTGCAGCACTACTAGGGAGGAAGCAAAATCTATACGGGAAATCAGTAAATATGGATGTTACTATGTACAACAAACCTCTTGCCAACATTAACACATTAGTCACATTTAACCTGTTTGCAAACAACTGACTTCACATGAGAAGTAAAGATACTTTATCATATAAATTGCATTAGAAAACCCCTCATTCCTTCAGTTTCATTACATGTAGAATCATCAATTTTCACACTTCCTATAAAGTGGAACGAAAACCCTCCTATCGGACGAGGACAGTGCCATCTTAGCTTCTATGTTGCCATGGTGCTGCACATATGACCAGCTGTGACACCAGTCATTTGAGGGATTGGAAAGGAAAAAAGAAAAAAAAAAAGTCTCAACAGATTCCCCTATCCATGCTAAACATCGTGGAAGTACAAATCTGCACGTGCTAATGTGTTCTGTGCTGCTGTCAGAATACCCGAAGAATGACTGCAGTCACAGTTTGGCCAATCATTTTCCGCTCGCCTCTTCACTTTTCTATCGTCTGATAGTGAGAGGCAACTAACAGGGCCACCCACTGAGCGAATTTCCCATTTTGTGCAGTGTGTAACCAGCTTTCGTTGGGCAGAATGTAAATAGAAACCCAGCAGAAAAAAACACTGGTATGTTTGATTAAGGATGTAATAATCATTGAACAATTCTAATATCAGCTTTCTTTTTTGGAAACCATTTCATTGGTAGGTTTAGATTTGCTTAAACAGGCCGAGCTGTCCAGCAAACGTGGCTGTTACAGGGCTTAAGACAAATAGAACACTGACGGGTGCTTACAACAGTCAGATTTTTAAAATATATCATTTAATACTTTCTTCCAAAAGAAAACAGAACTGTTGCTTTTCCTGCTTAAAAAGTGTCATCTGAAGTTGGGCTTTCATTTGCTCATCTCTAATTTTAGATTTCCAACTATGTGTCCATCTAAAAGCACACTGGGGGAATTTATCAAAAATGGAGCAGAGAGAATCTGAAGCAGTTGCCCATGGCAACCAATTAGCTGCTCTCTTCAGTTTGCTCAGGTAAGATTTGAAAATGAGACAAAGAAGCCGATTGGTTGCAGTGCAAATCTACTCCAGATTCTGTCTGCTCCAGTTTTGATAAATTCCCCCTCTGTCTATAGGGTGACAATGCCACAGGCTTGTCATCCTATTAGGAAGTGGAGAAATTATGGATCTACTGGCTGGATGGGCACCTGAATATGGGTGAAACATGGTCAGAAAGGTAAACCAAGCCTTTAATGCTACAGATGGACTGGATCATGCCATTTTGCCCATCGTTCCACTTTAAAGAGACCATGTCACGAACTTAAAAAAAAATAAAAAAATATAAGCAATACAAAATCAAGTATTTGAAATGCTGACAGAATATCTCCTTTGCATAAACACAGTTTATTAAAATTCCCTTCCCTCGCCTTTATAACATTTTATGTAGCTGCCAGGGAAGGAGTGACATCACCAGCAGCAGTCTCCGCTACACAAGGGTGGCTTTTACAGGTAAATCATGTGCACAAAATATATTAAATGTAGGGATGTCCCGATACCACTTTAAGACCAAGTACAAGTATTGTCCCTCATGTACCTGCCCATACCAATTACAGATACTTTTTCTTAAACGGACATGTGACATTTTTTTCTAAAACAATACAGACTGATGAGTTTAGGGAAATCTCTACAGGGCTAAATACGGATGTCACCAGAACTGAACACATGTCCCCACAACAGAACACGTGTCCCTAAGGCAAAATAGTATTCTGCTTTGGCGACATGTGTTCTGCTACTACAGCTCCCCAAAGCAGAATTCCTCTCACCAGGCTGCGTGTCGATCTCACTGGACTACGTGGACATCTGCAGTGGCTCTGCGGGCACTCCACCTCACCGGTGATGTCAGGACCGGGCCTCCCTTACGTCCAGTCCGGCGATGCTGCCACGCCCAGTCCTCCCCGTCAGTGTGCGGCGGGAACCCCCAGCTTCTAGGCCTGGGGCGGTGGCTCCGTCCCCGGGGCTGTCCATGGCTGTGCCTGCGCCGGGAAGGAGTAGGAGGAAATAAAGAACGGGACAGGCACGGCCATAAACAGCTATCTGCAGTTCCCCAGCAGACTGATGAGGTCCCCACAAGCACAGGAACTCAGACGGCCGCTGCGGTTTGAAAATTTAAAGGGTCGGTATCGGCCTTAAGAATCGGGGCATTTTCATGAGTATAAGTACTAGTGAAAATGCCTGGTATCGGCCCCGATACTAGTATTGGTATATCCCTATTTAAATGCACATATAACCTTTCTGAACGATTGTATGTAAAATACAAGTGCAGGCGACGGGGTCTCGATGTGCAACTTTTATTGCATTAAACTCTCCATGAAGGTGGAAACCCCCTCAGTACCAACCATCCCTCTGACTCAAACTAACACGGGACTGTTACATAGTTTGTGTGTTAGCAGATTTCTGACCAGCTGAAGAAAGTGTCACTCAGTGTTTTAGGTGCTTTTCCCTTCGTGAAGAGGAACAGCAATCTTGGTATCTGACTTATTGAAGCGTCTATCTGCTCACATACAGACTGGGGTGTATAGAGTACGGCCTTCAGACGGTTCTTCATTTCTGTACAATGAAAAGGACTTCATCCAAATGTTTGCTTAGAGCTATAAACAATCTTGCTGAAGTGGATTAAGTGAACCTGTAACAAGCTCACTTTACCAGAAAGCCTTTCCCAAGAGATAAGGGAGCTCAAATACAGACTTTCTTAAGATGCCAATTGCCTGGCTGTTATGCTAATCATTGGATTCCATGCTTTCTGGGTCAGAGACTCTGGGGAAAAAAAGTACATATTAGGAATGTCAGAAGTGCTTTTGTATATCCTCATTCTGTATTAATGACAAAGTATTGAAGGAAGAGAATTGGCACGACAGCATTCTATACTTGCCATCCCCTTGCACCCTCCTCTCAAAATACCACCCAAGTAATACCTAGTAGTTCAACGTGTGGGTGAACACCCCTCCCTGCACGCAACGCAACCACCTGGCCAAAGCATCATGTGAGGGAGAGGCAGTTTGCACAGCTTAGTATAAATTGGCAGCAAATCATGGTTATGGCGGAGTGTGGGAAGTCTGTGGTATAAAGTTCCTCCTGTAAATGGGAATTGTACACTTTCATTTTAAGAGTAGTGAAGTATTTTCACCCTGGGGTAGGAAGAGGGTTACTAGCAGGATCACCAGCTTAAAAAAAAAAAACCTGAAAGGGGAAAAAGAGTTCATCTAAGCCACCAAATCTATGGACTGGCAAGCTACAATATATTAAAGCCGACCTTTCCCCCAAAAAAGAAAAAGCACAAATGCATACAGCTCTGCAAGCTGAACAGTAAACACTTCACACTCATAACATTTTATTCTCTAAACTTACAGTTAGATCTTATCAAGTTCTGCTTTTTAGGAGGCACTGGTGATGTAGCCAGTGTCTCCCAGATGCCCCCTGGGAAGGCTATGGGGCTTATTTATAAATCTTCTGCCCATTGTATACCTGGGTGAATGGCATTTTCATAGCATTACCACCACTAGATGGAGCAAGGTGCATAGGAAAGTTCTGTGCTACTCAATACCACCGAGTGGTGGTAGTGTTGTGTGAAGGGCATTCATAAAGCTATGCGATACAATCTGGAGAAAAAGTCCATTCATTTTTATTTGTCTGCACAGATGAAACCTCACCACATCTCATAAAGCACATGAGCGAGATCTGGAATGGATATCGTTGGTGGGCCAGGCCAAAGAAGGGGGAAGAAGAAGCCAGCTGCTGATGACGTGAATGTTTAAAATGGCGATGTGGAATTTATCACAAGGGGTAGACCGAGCCATGGGATCCTGTAATTATGACATTACTAAGGCAAATACCCATCAGACAATGTATGTGTTTGTGACATAAGGGAAAGGTCCACTTTTTGTTGTTGGGCTTAGATACACTTTAAGCCATTTTATTTATCGATCCCAGCAAGATATGTCATGTAGCCTAACATTACGATTTACCTATAGGTACAGCGCTAGAAGAAAGGAAAATAAATCAGGTTCTTTTCCAGCACAGAGACCCTAAAATTCTAAAATAGAACCGACTCTTCAACCAAGAAGCCACTGAAAAAATAGAAATGTTGATTCTCTTTTCATTCAACTGGAAAATATATTTACAGTAAGAAAAGCAGTATAAATATTTCTAATGTCTTTTGTAGAAAAAAAAATAGATCAGTCTGTTTTATTATAGTCACTTGTCTGTGTATCCTCTGTGTTGGAGCCAACTGGTAATCCTTCAGATATACCTGTATTGTCAGGACTCGGCAGATTTCCCTCCTGAACGTTATTACACTTCTTTTCTGCCTCAGCCTTCCCTTTATTAGCTTCCAATGACACCATCACAAACTTGAGCAGTGCGTTCTCTGCCAGGAGACGCTCAGAAGCCGCCACTAGCTCTTTCATCTGGTCAGCCATGGTTCCCACCTCCCTGGATTTTTGTTCATACAGTGACTGGAGCTGCTGCTTGTGTACCTCCAGAGCTTTGTTGTGTTGTTCCAATCTCTGCTTTTGTACTTTTAGGTCCTGCCTGTCTTTTCTAGCTTCTGCAATCAGTTCTGCCAGCTGATCCTGAGCCTTGTGTAGAACATCAATTTCTGCCCTCAGCCTTTGGATGTCTTGTTCCAAAAATGAGACCTGTTCCTCTTTGTACTGAACATAGTATTCGGGGCAGGAGGCGGGTGGATCCGCTGCGGTGGAAGGAAGAGTTGTATGTTTTAAGATAAAATGCAAAAGGTTTGAAACGGTGATCTGCTGACCTTCAGGATACAATACACTGTTTTCTTTCCTGAAAATAAAAACATCAATGATAAGTACAATAATTACACAAATAATTAACTTTATATATGCAGATTACAGGGCCTATGTCTGAGAGATACCAGTAGTGCCAACCAATGTCACGGACATGGGCAACTCTTGCTGTAGGGCATTCTGAGACAGACAGAGCTGTAAAAGATACAGATTTATCAGAGTTCAGAGTGGGGAATTTATCAGAATTTGGAGCAGTTCCCCATGGCAACCAATCAGCATCTCCCTTCAGTTTGCTCAGGTAAGATTTGAAAATGAGAGACTCTGAATGGTTGGAGTGCAAATCTGCTCCAGTTTTGATAAATTCCCCCCCAGAGTATTTTGAGAAGAAAGAGAAAGCCAAACCTTTCTTTTAGGTCACAAGAGTACATTTACTAACTCAGCATATAGCGGACTACTGCCAGCACAGAGCATAGCTGCAGTAGGGAAGGATCCCGAAAAAAAAATAAGAGAGAGGAATCCCTGCAGGGAGCGGTGACTGACAGCGGTCACATGAGAGCTCCAGTGTTAGACGCCGGCTCTAAGCATTGGGAGGAGTATATTTTATTTTCCCAATGCTACTTTAAGTACAAATCACTCTATTCCTGATACTTTTTCTTGGACTGCCTTTGCTGACCTCCTTTTAGAAATGCTGGTAGCCTGGCTAGCTCTGTTATTTATAGTTTGAGTCACTGACTGAGGCCTTCACTCTAGATATGCAGGCTTGTCTCTTTTCAGTTCTTAGTGATGAAGCCATTGGGTCAGCATGAAAGCCAGGGAGTTCACATTGTCACAAGACAGCAGTAATGACAGCCTACACATTTTTTCAGTACAGTATTATTTTAAAACACCATTGTATATTTTTGCATACAACCATTTTCAAAAATAAGTACACCCCTGGGAAATTGTTGACTTTTTCAACATATTTAAACAGGCAAACATTAGATCTTTATTCAAACAATGCCTAGAGATAAAAAGTAATATACTTAAATGAAAACTCTGCAAAAAAGTAAGTATACCCTTGGTTTATGGAGCGGTTACTGCACCCTTTAGCAAAAATGACTTCTTGTAAGCAATTTGTATAACTTCCCACAATTTGTGACTTGCAGAGTTGTTTTTACCATTGCTCTATGCAAAATTGCTTTAGTTGCAAAATGTCTGTGGGTTTTCTTCAACACTTTAAGATACTGACAAAGAAAATGCTTACATATCTGAAGTCCTCACTTCACTCTGACTGCTTGTTAAAGGCCTCCTCTGGGTCAGTGACTCAAATTACAGATGTCGGCGATGGCCGGGCTACAATCAGTCCAAGAAAACTAAGCTATCAGAAAAAATGTGACTTATAAGCAGTCGCTAATTTTGTGTATCCACTTCAAGTACCACTGACACTTGCCAGTATATTATGTCTGTCAGTATATTATGTCTGGAGATGCAGCCAGGTATCTTGAATACATCATATGATCCCAGCAAAAAGCAGTTTTGGCAGTTGTGGAAATAAATACCCGATATACCAATTCTTAAAACATAAAAACACAACATTGCTTCCAGAATATAACATATACAAAATTCTACTGCAATCGCTCTAAAACAGATTTCAATCTTGTAACGTTATCGTTTGTACCCATGAGATCACAAAGCGGTTTCCTGTAAACTAGAGACAGATGGCAAACGGTTTTTGGGCAGCAAACAAAGAAATCCAAAAGCACCAAAAGATAGTAAAAACGTCTAAGCATTTATCCAGAATGGTCACATAACTCATGTATTTAACACTTGGATTCTTATATCTCTTGCTGACTGCTTGCTAAATTGTTATAGTTGTTGGCAGCATCTTTTTTAGAATGGTCCAGAATGTCCATAGTTTAAACATTAAAAAAACAAAAAAAAAACAGGCCAAATGTTCCCTACTCCATAGCCTCCTTTTCTGCCAACAGCAATAAAGCACGAGACAGAGGTTACATGGCTAAGAAATAGGTGACAAGAGTCTGCAGCCATGCTCATAAGCAGGGCACAATAGGACAAGCCTAGTTATTCTTACTGCAAGCAAATTGTTGTAGTAGGAATGCGCAACATTAACTGTAAAAGAAATGACATTACATTGAGACTTTTTTTCCAACACAAGCAAATGTATTTTCATCTGCTTCTACTTAGTTCCTGCTAAGGTATTTTTAGCACAGAGGAAATGCCATTTTCAACACTCTTTATAACAACTATTTTACTAGTTAAGCAAAAACCCCCTTTAGCTACCAGCTTCCTCCCTATCTTATAATGTGTCACAAGATCTTTCAGACCAACTATAAGATGATAGAATCTGGGCACTTCAACGCTTAATGTTACTGAGCCTGCATTGTAAAATATACACTAGGGATTCACCGATACCATTTTTTCGATACCGAGTATGAGTACCGATACTTTTCCTCGCCAATACCAGTTACCGATACCTTTTTTTGTGTCATGTGAGACTAATGATTTTAGGACAATGGTGGAGCACCAGGGTCAGGTCCCATCTGCAAACGCTGCACCCCTGGTAGTTCTGTCACTGACTCCAAATCTCAGCAATACATTATACAACAATGTAGATGTGGTATATCTGGATTTCTCAAAGGCTTTTGATACGGTACCACACAAAACACCATTATACAGCAATGCAGAATAATACCGTCAGCTATAGAGGGCTACAAATCTCTGCAGTCTGATAACATGGTACCATGGCTGGGATAGGGAGGAATGATTTGTAGTCAGATAATGTACCATTGCTGGGATGGGAAGGAATGATTTGTAGTCAGATAATGTATCATGGCTGGGATAGGGAGGCATGATTTGTAGTCAGATAATGTACCATGGCTGGGATGGGAAGGAATTCTCTGCCTTCAGATAATGTATCATGGCTGGAATGAGGATGAATGCTCTGCAGTCAGATAATGTACCATGGATGGGATGAGGAAGAATGCTCTGCAGATCTTATAAGCGCAATGCTGTACCCGGGGGGGAGCCCCCCCAATCTCTGCTCTCCCCTGCCCTGCCATCCTTGCTCCCCCCCTGCCTTCTCTGCACCCCTCCCCCCCGTTCTGTGCAGCGCTGTGAACAGGCGAGGCCTCCGACCCACACTGGATTGTGTGGTACTGCAATGCCGTGCCTTCTAGCACAGTGCAATTGCAAAAAATTGTGCATGCAGTTTTATTCTGAAGTAAACTTTAGGTTTGTAACACTGCAAATGGTAATTACATTTTTTTTTTCTATCCGATTATTCAATTACTTGAAAAAGTAATAATCGACCAACTAATTATTTATGAAACTAATCGTTAGTTGCAGCCCTAATGCAGGCTTCCTCAGGTTTAATCGCTTTAAAAAGACTCTGCACGTACTGAGAAGCAGCTGCTGATCTGCCAGAAATGCACTCAGCCCCCAAGGCCTGCTGTGGGCTGAAAACGAGCAGCACTTTTGCTGCCCACTTGCTTTTTCTCTACAACATAGACATAAATGATTCCGTGGTCCAAGATAAGATCCAGGAGGGCTAATTAGACTCTTTGACATAACACAGGAAGTGTGCACAGGCAGATCTAAATTTCATACATGGTCAACAGGTTTTAGTTGTTTGGGGGTTGTCTTTGCACTCATCAGTTACATACAAAAAATGCAGCTTTGAAAGACCAAAAGATCCAGAAGATCACAAGATTACTTATTTAAGGTATCACTTTTTTCTGTTTGGCGTTTTTTATTTTCTAGAAGATGAAGACATCTAATGACAGATGACACTTCCAACACGGAAAGGTTATAAAAGAGTACTTACCTATTTTTGGGGAAAAGCATGATAGCAGGGACATGGTCTACCATAAACTCCCAAGGAAGATCATTCTGAGCAATATTTATCCTAAGAGACAGAAATACAGATTACTGGAACCCCGGAAAGGTTAACTACAATCAATTTAATTTGTATACATGTGAAATTGTTGGGGACACTAAACTCGAGTTAAACCTTACAAATGCATTCAGTACCCATTGCAAAGTACCCCAACTATTAACAAAAATCTATCACTCAGTTGTAGATCCTCTGAATTGGTGCTGACACTCCTTCCTTCTGGAGGGTGGCTAATTTTGTTCCCCATGGTCCTGTGTGTGTTGTAAAGTATCCACCACTCCAAGCTCGCTCCCCTGAGGGACTTACCAATCATTATTGAAGTTCTAGTGTATCATGGGAATGAGCTTGGAGTGGTGGCTACTTCACAAAACATACAGGGATCATGGGATACAACAAAGTGGCCACCCTCGAGAAGGAAGGACAGTGTCAGCATGAATTCAGAGATGATTAACCCCTTCGTGACTGACGACGTACACAACAGAAGCGATCCTGGCGACTTACCTGTCGCCAGATCACTTCTGCGTCCCGAAGAAGGGGCCGCGCCCCCGCCAGACACCCCCGACTTCCGGTCCCTGGGCTGTCAGTTCTGGGCTCCTGGAGCCCAGCTATAAGCTATTGAAGTGCGATCTGCACTTCAATAGCTTATTTCCAGTGTAAAGGTGACACTGGGGGTCTTTTGGACCCCCAGCATCACCTTAAAGAGTACCTGTCACCACCATCTGCTATCACATGGGGGGGCTTGTAAGCCCCCCCATGTGATAGCAGTCAAAGTAAAGTTAAAAAAAAAAAAAATTTACATTAAATTTAAATGAAATAAATCTAATAATAAAAAATTTTTTTAAAGTCCCCCGCAAGCATGCGCGTCGCCACGTAAACACGCGTCGGGTGCGCCTACGTATGAAAACGACGAACGCGCTACACATGTTGGGTATCGCCGTGCACGCCGGAGTGAGAGCAATAATTCTAGGGCCAGTATTTTGGGGTATCTCTAAATTGATGACCTGTGGGGGCTTTTAAAGCGTCTTCTATGGACTTTTTGGGGTACTGGGGTTTTTCGCCGTTTTACGGATGCACGCAATTTGTAACCTGGGCATGTTGGGTATCGTTTTACTCGTTGTAACCTCATCTTTTATATTTCATTAAAAAATGGGTATTTTGTTGTGCTTTGGGGCATTTAATAAAAATTTTCACTAAATATTGGGGTTTAATAAGGAGTTGCGCTAATATTGCACAACATAAAAATTTGCAACTACCACCATTTTATTCTATAGGGTCTTCGCATTCAGAAAATATATAATGTTGGGGGGTTTTAAGTAATTTTCCGGCCTAAAATGTGGAATATAACATGGGTACAAAAAAATTAAAAAAAGGCCTCAGTCATGAAGGGGTTAAAGGATCTACAACTGAGTGATACACAAATAATAATTTTTTTAATCTTAACACTTTGTTGAGGTACTTAAATGCATATACACAGTCTGTATTAATATGTACATGGGGAAGCTGGTGATGATGATGTGTCCTATTATTTTATGTGATGTGAATTTAACCAGTTGACATCCGCGGTGTTAAACCCCCTTAAATAAGCTTGCACAGACATGGACAAGCAGCTATACTGAAAGTACTGGACTTGCATACAAACTGAGCTAGCGAGAACATTCCTAGTCACCGATCAGCATACCCTCATGATTTCCAACTATGCAATACAGAAATTACATTTAGAAGCTGACTAGTTGCTAACAGGAAATATTCTAGTTCACACGTTTTTAATACACAAGCCTCAAAGTGTGTTAGAGCTGCACATGCCAAGACACTTCCCACAACCCTCAGTGTAATGCATTATATTTTACCAGTACCTAGTAAAAGAATGCATACTTCTGGTAAGAACCTTACCCAACACTACCATGATATTACAAAATAAAATAGTCAAAAAGACTGAATGAAGGAAGACGCAATTATCTTACCTAGCTATGACGAGACTATCTGTAGCCAGTAGCTGGGCCAGACGGATAAAGATATGAGTCAAACTAGCACAGAAGCCACACCAAGTTGTGTAGAACAACAGCAACACATCCTGTTGAAGACATTGAAGCACAATTAAGCTGCTATATATTATATGTACTTTAGTAAATATGAATACATTTAAACTGTTTCACATGTTCAGACATTCCTGAAACAGAAAAAGATGCACTTGCAGTCCAACAGGGCAAGGATGGCTTTCTTATTAAAGTAGTGCAAAGAATGGCGGTTTCCAAAATGTCATAACCGGGTTTCCGATCAGGAGTTTACCGTCTGATCGTTACAGGTTGCTTGATATATATTTGTGTTGAATTCCTGCTCATTTACATAGATTAACCCTAGATTAGTCATCTAGATGAGTGCTGATACTGGATGTTTCAGTAGCCCAGCCTGCACATCTATTCAGGGCACAGGCCTCATCTTTTGAATCCCCCCCTATTTGTAACAAGCCAGCTGGGTACACATGGATTCACTCCAACACCAGAAAACTCTTAGAATTGAATTCACACCAACTGGCAACTAACAAAACCCCTTTCATACTCGAGTCTAACGGTTATGCATGATGTCATTCATTCAGTCACTGGTGCCTTATAAAAATAGACAGTCTAGCTGCAGCACATGCTAGTGGAAACAGAGGTCAGTATTCTTTAAAGTGAAGATTCATCTATAAATGGATAGATTATACAGTATATATATTATACAGTTTGTGCTGGAAATAAATAATGTAACTAATTGGGCTATGGAAGATAACCTAAATCAAATCAGCTAATTCCCTCTTAGTGAATCACACTGAAAAGATTAAAGGAGAACTATGAGGTGAGTGATTTACAGTGAATCACATTTTATGTTTACTTGAAGTGAACATTTGGCGAATGTCACATTCACGGATTAATAAAGTGTGCAAGTTAAGTCCCGATATGCTTAGAGGTAAGGAATGACGACATCGGCTGAATTTTCGAAATTATGTAATGTACTTTTTTCAAATTCACGTTTCTGCTCTTAAATAAATATGACTACCAACCAGTCACTATATTCCTTGGCCCTTATCTTAAACAATAAGTCTTTCTTACAAAAAGATTTTATCTTGGCATTTTAGCGGTGTTCATCCACATTCACTGTAACCCACTAGGTCAATGATGGCGAACGTTTTTGAACCTGAGTGCCCAAACTGCAACGCAAAATCAATTTATTTATCTCAAAGTGCCAGCGCTGAAAGTAAGTATAGTATTGTATTGCAGTTTGGGCGCTGGGCTTTAAAAAACATTCAACATCACTGCCTTAGGCAAAATAGGGAAACGCACATATTCAAACATTTATACACTCAATAAAACACACATCACACACTCATTATAAAAAGAAACCACACACATTAAAAACAAACATACACACATTGCACACGTAATGAAACATACACATTAAAACACACACATCAAAAAACACACATAAAATATTTTAAAATTTACACACACAAAGTCCTCAATCTCTTTTTTTGCAGCCTCTGTTCTAAATGAATGGAAAGCACAGAGGCTTCCCATTCATTCAGAAACTATTTACTATCAAGCAGTTTCTGAATGGGGAGGAGACTCTGTACAGAGTGCTTCTCCCCATTGGGAAACTCATGAATGAACAAGAAGTGATGTAAATAACGTCCTGTTCATTCATAACTGGGGACACATAGTACTATGTGTCCCCAGTTATTTACAAACACTGGAGTGATCAGCTGATCGCTCCAGTGTTTGTCCTGCACAGAGGTCTGGTACATATCACTCATATGTACCGACCCTCTGCCGCTCAGCCACGCACAAAGGGGGGATCAGCTTCTCCTCTGAATCTCCGCTGCTTTCCTGGGCAGAGGCGGATCCGAGCAGAAGTGAGGAAGGCACTGCAGCCGCGGGGGGGAGAGGGAAGACGTTGTCACAGCAGCATGTGCGGTGAGGAGAGAGAGAGAGCTGCCGGCTGTCAGATCCAGGCCGAGCGGCTCTCTCTCCTTACCGCTCGGCGTGCTGCTGATGATAGCGGCTCCGACCCCCGCCGCTGCCTGCAGCGCCTCGTTCACTTCTCATATCCCCGCTACATACAGATGGGGGAGAGCAGCGGGGATCCAGAGAAGCCCCAGCCCCATATCAATGGTAGATCGCGATCGACCTAATGGGCACCCCCGATTTATTATATTGCTGGTTCGGCAATATATTAAATAGAATCTGGGCACCTGCCAGGTTTAAAGATGGCTGCTGCGATTTTCAGCGGCCATCTTTAAAAACTTAACATGACTTTACAGTGACCTGCACCTGGAGTGTGCGGGTCACTGAAACCGGGACCTAGTCTTGCGTGCCACCAGGGGGGCCTCTGCGTGCCCTCTGTGGCACGCATGCCATAGGTTCGCCACCGCTGCACTAGCTTATAACCTGCACTTTTCCCACAATGCCTCTCTGTTCCTTTATTGTCTCACACCAGGTCAGTAATATGACTTGCCTCCAATCTCGATCTTCTCAAAATTTTGCTAATCTGTCATTACTACTATTTCATTTGCTTACTCAGCTCTTCAATACAAAGAACTCATCTTTGTTCTTTTTCTGCTGTTTTTCCCCAACAGCAACAGGGGGCTGATGCTTAACTGGGCTCTGCGACTGTTTACCAAATCCCTTCCATTAGCAACATCTATTAAAAAGCTAGTGCCTATCACTGCTGGGAAACTGAACATTGTGTGAGGCTGCCATCAGCAAGTGACTAAATGGATTTGTACTTTAGGGCACCTGTTGGACTGCATTATAAATTCTAGAAGAATGAATGTGCGTTGACTGGCTACTGTAAAAAAACAAACAACTAGGGCTGCAACTCATGATTATTTTTATAATTTATTAGTTGGCCACTTAGTTTTTCTGATTAAAAAAATTTAAAGAAATACCATCCTTAAATTTTAATTAAATACACAAATGCAGTGTTACAAACAAAGTTTACTTCGGAATAAAACAGCATGCACGGCACCATGCATTCCAGTGCGGGCAATCACATAACTATTCTGCATTTTTATACACAAGGAGCAAAATATATTTTGATCTTCATTATTAAAGGGTCTTTGTTTTTTATTCCAGGTACTTATGGAACTTGAGGACACCATCTGAATTACATTTTTCTAAAACATCAACACAGGACATACAGTACTTTCACAAAAAGCATGTCGGCTGTCTATCATACATCACTTTCCTTATATCACAGATCAGAATGACATGTAAATACATATTCATAAAACACACAATAAGAATATGAACCTTTCTTATATCCAGAACAACATGATGAAACGTATAGGAGGTCACTTCTGTGATGAGCTGGTGTCCTAATTTCCTGGTAGGTGGGTCACTGACTAGATGCCTTTGCAATGGGCTGTAAATCTTGCTGTAATTCTGGATAAAAGCCTCTAAACATAAAACAGCATATATATGAATCACACTATGTCAAAATACTATGATGAAAGCTACAATGACAAATATGATGAAAAAAGTGTACTGGCTCTAAGTTTGAATCACAAGTATAAGAATTTTTCAGAATTTTTCAGATATACATGAACACAAACAGTGCATATGATATATTGTAAAGCCCTTTAATTTCCCTTAAATATTTGGAAAAGTACAAAGGAACACATAGCTCTGATTAACGTTTTCCAAATGTTTTTTTAACGTTTTTCTACATGTACATGTGAGCTTAAAGGTGAACACCAGACAGATAAAAAAAAGACAGGTTAGTACAGCTCTGTATTCATTAATATATCATTAATTGTTTTTGTTTAGTGCAAGGTGTCCAAGTACCTGAATTTGACTTGGCATCAGCCTCTTGTAATCACCTGTACAGCAGAGTTCTGAATAGAAGATAAAGCAGCACCAGGAGCCAGCCAGCCAGCTGTGCTGCAGTGTGCATAGGATAACAAGGGACATACTGATGGGAAGACAAAGCAAATTGACACAGATGAGCTTGTCAGTCTGCTCCATTCACTGTCCAGTCACAAGCTGAGGGAGGAACAAGGCCTGTAAGTGTTAGGCTTGGTTCACACCTAGGCGTATCGAATATGCGCGTTTGCAGCGCGTTTCTACGGCGATTCCCGGTACAAAAACGCGCGTTTCCGAGGGCTACCTGGCTGTATCCCAATGGATACGCACGCAAATACGCCCCAAAGAAGCTCCTGTACTTCTTTGGACGCAGGGCGTTTTGCAGCGCGTTCCTACGCGCTGTACAACGCCCAGGTGGGAACCATGCCAATAGGCAATCATTGGTTTTCACATGTTGAGCACTTTACAGAGCGTAGGAACGCGCTGTAAAACGCCCAGGTGTGAACCAGGCCTTAAGGAAAACCAGGTCTCCTGCCCTGCCAGACAGGACTGTGCAGAGCTGTGTGAATCTAGGAATTGGATGGACAATAATATAAACACACTGGCAGGAAAAACAGCTTCTAAATGTGCATTTCATCTGTGTATTTTGTAGCACGTGTATAGAGCTGCAGCTAACGATTATTTTCAAAATCGATTAGTTAGCCGATTATATGTAGCATCCATCTTTCTAGGTGGCATATAAGCGTAGCTAGCATGGTTGACAGCACGCTTCCTCCCTCCACCGCTGTTAAATTATGCAGCTAACAGGGAGACAAATAACACATGAGCCTTAATTGACCTCCTGCTGGTCTCCAGCACCATGTGCTTGCCCGACACAAGTGACATAATTATGAATGCAGGGAGAGGGGGCATGTTAGCTTAACCCTTACCAACACAGACGCATTCACTTACCAAGGGGGTAATGGCAGCTGAGCTCTGCCTGGGCTCAGCAATAGTAACAAGCAGGAATCGGGCTTTTATCAGGAAGACCTTTTTTTTTTTTTTTTTTAAACAGGAATGTTTTTATTAAGTTTTCCAGAGTTAAAAAACAGAATAACTAAAGTAGACAACAGAACAACCAAAAATTATGTCACAAGAACAGATCTAGGTCATCTTGGGAAGCACAAAGAAGGTAAAGAAGGTGGGGAGAGGAGAAAGGCAATGAAAGGGAGAGGAAACATAAAAAGAAAGGAAGGGTAGGAGGAGAATGAAGGGGAGGGAGAGGAGGGGAATGAAGGAAACACAAAAATAAGGAAAGGAACGAGCCCAGGAATAGAGGTAAAGGCAATTGGGCAGATTAGGGTCAGAAAGTGCAACACAGTAGACTGAAGGTACCATCCCATCAGAGCCACCAAGCCTTCCAGTGGCCTAGGGACTTGCGAGCTGTCAGGAGTCACAGGCCAAGGGGTAACTCCACCGCTCAGGCCCTCCAAAATGAGTCCCCTAGCCCCCTTCCAGTCTGCCCAGACACAATCAAATTTACGCTGGCAGTTGCAACTCATGTAAGTTAGTTTAAAGAGTGGTGAAATTGAATCCACGATTAGCAGCTATTGATCTACTATGGGGGGGAGCATCCAGCTTCCATCTAATAAGAATCTCTCGACAGGCATAAAAGGTCACATAAAAAATAAAGAAGTCTAGTAGCGCCAGAGATTTGTATATTATCCACACAACCCAAGAGAAATACTAAGGGGTCAGCCCTGTGTTGTAAACCCATCACAGCATTAACTGTGGAGATCACAGAATCCCAGTATGACTGAAGCAACCGACAGGACCATACCATATGCAAAAAAGTGCCAACTTCCATTTTACATCTAGAACAATGAGCATTCACAGAACGATGGATAATTGCTAGTCTTAAAGGAGTATTAGAATACCCTGTGCAAAAATTTCAGCTGAAGGAATCTCTCCCTAGGAGAGATAACCATTGTCATATACATCTGCTCATCGGCCTTCTAATCTTCCTCCGACAGTGAGGGAATATCAGCCTTCCATTTCCCAAACAAGCGAGGCAATGTGGGGCAGCCGAAAGTAGAGCGATAAGAGAGGTTTATGAAACCTATCCCTTATCAAGAAGCGATCAATACAGTCAGATTCAACAGTCACTGGGTGTGATATCTGAGACCTAAAAGCATGTTGCAAATATCTAAAAAAACATGAAAGGGGGTAGGCCATATTGAAACCAGAGTCCATCAAATCCCAGCAGCACCCCCCTGGGCGTAATATGTTTTACAATTTTTATACAATAGGGGACCAGGGATAGAACGAAAATGCCATGAACACAGTTTACCCCATAAGGGAGCATAAGGGGAAATACGATTAGGCTTAACCAGCCTCCCTCGAGCCTTAAACCACACCACCAACGTGATACGCATTAGCTTGATGACAGCAATGTTGGAGTCTGGACCCCAAAACACCAAATTACTGAGTTCCGCATAGGTGTCCAAAAGGGCCGCCTCAAGGGTCACCGCCGAGTAATCCAGATCTTGAGAAAACCATCACCGTACCGTTACTAATACCCAGCCCAGTAATAAGTTCTATAGCAGGGTAGGCCCAACGCCGCAAGACCATTTTTAATGGTCACTTGCTTCTGTGATGGCCTACAATCACAATACAAAAAAAGTATACTAAACATGAAATTGTAGTCTATTACAGAGTGAGCTAGGAGCAGTGGCTACTTTACAACACACACAGGGATCATAGGAAACAGAAGTAGCCACCCTCCAGAAGGAAGGACAGTGTCAGAACCAATTCAAAAATGATTTGAGGATTTACACCTGAATGATACATAAATAGGCTAAATTTTTGTTACTAGTTAAGGTACTTTTTTTTTTTGTAAATACATTTTTATTAATTTTCAGGTATGCATAAATTCTTACAAACATCTCCCACCGGAAGGGCTCTGTGACTGTTAACCAAATCCCTTCCATTTTCAACAACTACTAAAAAGCTAATGCATGGCACTGCTTGAAACTGAATATTGTCTAAGGCTGCCATCAGCGAGCATTCTGATCAAAGGATGCCGGTCTTCTAGACTTCTGGCCGCGTGTGAAGGGAGTTCACAAATCTTGCATGCTACTGCGCATGTGCGGGTCCAGAAATGTTACAGACGCATTGTTATAGCACAATCCCGCGGGTCTAAACATTTTACTGCCACATTCCTTGGCATATGTTAATAAATACAAAAAAATAAATGAGTAATAAAATCTAAATAATATATAATAATAAAAAGCTATAACATATATATAATATAAATATTATTTACATAAACATATAGA